ACAGTGCATGGGGGTTCAAGCCTCAGCGCCTTTTTTTCACCTTGTCCAGATGAATGGTCTGGGCTCCTTGTCCCGGATCCCGATTTCTGCCTAGGAAACCCTTGTCCCCGTGTGCGACCCTGCTGCGGTGTCACGGGAGTCTCAGGGGGGCAGAACGGAGGCACAGGGACCCAGAGACGCGGGAATTACTGCCCCTCACGGTGGAGCCTCACAGTGCACGCAGGTGCGGACTGACGCTAACCTGAACCAAAAGTAAGTAATACAGCAAACAGAGGGGGAAAAAAGATCTTCTGATTTGGGTGTGGCAGCCTGGAATAAAATACGCATTTTTTTGCATTTTCAGCTAGAACTGGGGAAAAACACAAAGAAATGGCAAAGCCAGCACTTCCTGATAGTGTAGGTATAGTGCTCATAGAACTACAATAACATTACTAATAAGCAGTACACCTCATAAGTTGCCTTTTAAATGAGTGAGCTTTAGCTTTTTCTGACCTGCAGACCCCTAGACATTTTTCAGTAGAGGTGAAGATCCCCGTACAGAGAATATAAGCCTTTGGGCAATAGGTCTGCTTTTTTTAATTACCTCTCCCGAGGCTGTTAGAAGTCATTCACACAGAGCCCTCAGGGGCCACAAGCCACGGATTAAAAACCAGTCCTTTTCAATAGTCTGCCAGTAGCTCTGCACTGGAAAGAAATGAGAATGACGCCTCCATAGTTTTGGTAAGCGTGTGTATATGATCACTGACGTCTGAAGGACAAGATTCAGAGTAGGCACCAAAGGTATGGGAGCTGCTGCCACCTTTAGTTTATGCGATACACGAGCTTTTAGGAAGGGCGCAGAAGGGCTGCGGGCATGGAGCGTATCTGAGGGACACTCAGGCCTTTTCAGCCAAGATGACGGCACAACCCACCGAAGTCAGGTCATTCCCATAACACGACATATGGTGCAACATGTATTTATTTTTATAAAGTCCAACAGCACACCTGGAAGTGACAAATATGGAAATGCAAAGGGTTGCCATATTACAAGATTATTATGGGTTTTCAGTGTTATGGTTCTTTTTGTGGTTTATATCCTGTTAACTAAAAACACATTAGAATTGGAGAGGCCCAGGACAGTGTTGGAAGGGGCCTCTGGCAGTGCCTTCCCTGGTTACAACAGCCGAATTTTTAGTCTCTCGGAGGATGGAGACTCCACAGCATCTCCAGGCTCCTATTCTCCCGTGAGACTACCCTGATGGAGAGTTTTTTCCCTGTAGCTAACTGGAATTTCTTTTGCTGCAACCTGCGTGTGTTGCTTCTTGTCCCTTCACTGTGCTCCTCAGAGAAGAGTTTGACTCTGTCTTTGCTGTAACATCCCATGAGGGGGTTGAAGGCGGCAGCGAGACCTCCCTGCAGCCTTCACCCCGGCTGAGCAATCCCTGCTCCCACTGCCTCTCCTCGCACGTTGGCTCCTGCCCTGGCTGGCGCCGTGGACCCACTGCGCTCGCTCCGGTTTGTTACTGTCTTGCTCATCCTGGGGGCCTGAAAACTAGACATGCTGCTCCAGAGGGGGCCTGGTGAGTGCTGAATAAAGGGGAATAATCACTTCCTTCAGCCTCCTGGCTGCGCTCTTGTTGATGCAGCCTGGCGCGTGGGTAGCTTTTGCTGCCGCAAGGCTGCACTGCTCGCTTCTGCTCAGCCTGTTGTTCACCAGGACCCCAAGTCTTCTCCTGCAGAGCTGCTGCCCAGCTGGTCATTCCCCGGCCTGTGCTGTGTCACGGGGTTATGTGACATGGCTTTGCAATTGCTTTCACTGGCGAGCCCCTCTCTGCAGCTGGCTGACATCCCACCAGCCCTCCTGCGCCAGCTGCTGCCCCGCAGCGT